TTTTTTTTTTTTTTTTTTTTTTTTTTTTTTGTGAAGAATGAGAAAGACTAAGTTTTCAGAGTTGGTTGTGCTGAGACAAGTTTTTGAAATTTTGACTTTTTAAAGGCTGCAGTTCTCTGAAGTTGGCTTAGACATTCCTTTGAATCTTGCAAGCCCAGAGTGGTTTAGAAAAATTTGAAAAAAATCGAAGATTTTGGGGACGGGAGGCTGAATGCTTCTTAGCTTTTGATGAAGGATATATTTTCTTCACTTTCTGCTTTTCTATTCCTTTTGTTAACTAATTGAATTTTGCATTTCTTGCTGATACTATCCTGTAAAATTGTTTCTAACTTTACTTCTTCAAACAGTGGCGTCAAGTGAGGGCTATAATATTGTGTAAGTTTGTATGAGAAAGTAATATTAGTATGTTTTTTGCGTTATTTGCACATTAGATTTATAAATTTCCATAACAAATGCTAAGTTCTGAGGTGTTTTTAAGATAACGCGATGAGAAAAGAAAAGGTATTATGAAGAAATTTTCTAGCAGAAAGAAACCGAATTAGATATTTAGCATTACTTTAAAAGTGCCATAAAAGAAATAGAGGATTCTCAAATATTAGAGTTTCAAAGGGAGAATCAGTAGGGATAATGGAGAATAAAATCACCTAATTATACTTCATGATAGGTTTAAAAAAATTTATTTGATTAGAGGAATGCAGTTGTACTTTTAAAAATGCAAAGGGAGCCGTCAGTTTAATAACCGTCCTCTTTTTATCTCAAAGTTTCAGGAATGTATGCATTATCATAGTGGACTGAAAGATAGAGGCCGAGGTTTTTTGTTCTTTCAACCTCAATCTTTCAATTATGCTTGTTTGAAATCAATTTATTCTTAAAATACAATCTGATGTTTATGTTTTGATTGCGTATTGGAATACGTCTGAAGTTTTATTTTAAGGAGAATATTCCATTAGGATATCAGAATGTCAGGCCCTTGAAGTGTCGTCATCCGCAACAGAAGCGTACTATTCTGGGTGAAATGACGCAATATATAAGCAATGTAGATAGTTTTAAATTCACAGTAGTTTAAATAAATGACTCACTTTTATTCAGATTACTTTCTTATGGTAATGCCCGCAAGTATTTAACTTATTTTTGTCAGAAGTCGGTATTTTCAGGGGATGCGGCGTATGCGTATTGTCGAAAGTTGTAAAACCAAAGAAGAATTTTCGAAATGGAAAAAAATTGCTGTTTCACTGTCAGTATGCTT